ATCGTTTATTTTTTATTTTTTTTGTCTGTACCCCCCCCTTCCCTGATTTGATTTGTTAGCCACCCTGAGTCCCCTTCGGGGGAAAAGGGTGGCATATAAATATAATAAATGAAATGAATGAAAATGAAATAAGTTAGGGATGTGTGCTAAATATTGATTGTTACCCAGTGAGGAAAAAAAATAGCAGTAGAAAGTATGTTTAGACAGGGGATTTATGTAAAGTTTTCAAAGATGAGCGGCTAACAGGGTAGAAACCCAAGCTTTTCTGATATCCCTGATATACAATACCCCTAAATAATCAAATGGAATCATAAGACTGGAAGGAATCTTCTAGTCCAACCCCATACCCAAGGCAGGAGACCTTATACCAGTGATGGCGAACCTTTTTCGGCACCGAGTGCCCAAACTGGAACGTGTATGTGTGTGCACATGTGCGCAAGAGCCCCAGAAATTTGAAGACCAGCTGGCTGGTGCACATGCGCATGCTGGCTACCCGATCTTCTGATTTTTGGCACATGCATGTGCACTGGGCAGGTGGTGTTTGGGTTTCTGGGGCTACGGCACGCACGAAGATCAGCTGCCCGGCACGCATGCACAAACCGGAAACCAAAAGAGTAGCTGGCGATGGCGCACATGCCCACAGAAAGGAGTCTGCGGGCAATCTCTGGCATGCGTGCCTTAGGTTTGCAATCACGTCCTTATAACATCCTGTACAATGGCTCTACAATATCTTCTTTAAAACCTCCAGTGATGGAGCATTCACAACTCTGGGAGGCAAGCTGTCCATTGATTAATTGTTTTCCCTGTCAGGAAATTTCTTCTTCGTTCCAGGTTGGATTTTAATGAGTTCCAGCCATTCCTTTTTGTCCTGTTTTCTGGGGCTTTGGAGAACAAGTTGATCCCTTCTTCTCCGTGACAGCCCTTCAAATATTGGATGACAGCTATCATGTCACCCCTACTCCTTCTCTTTGTTAGGCTAGACATGCCTAGTTCCCTTAACTGTTTATTGTACAGGTTAACCACAGCAAATCCATTGCTGTTTTACCCACCTGCTGGCTCAAATTAATGAACAAGTTTTTCCTTCCTAAGTATGAAGCGTTAAACTCAGCCTAACAGAGATTTTTGTTATTCACAGGGATGATGCCTTTTCCGACAGCCTTAGCCAGAAGGCAGACAGTGAAGCAAGCAGTGGACCTCTGCTGGATGACAAAGCCTCATCTAAGAATGACATACAGTCACCAACAGATCATCTTCCAGACTATGGATTTGGAGGAGTAATGGGACGGTAAAAAAAAACACCAATATTTTATTCTCATTTGGATGCAATTATCTCTCTTCCCCATTCTTTTCTAGCTACGGGCAAGACAATTTGAATACGTAGATTGTAGAAAAGTTCTGAGCTGACTTGCACAATTAACGTCACGTTTAAAAGTGGAAGAAGTAGGGATATTGATTTGTTTCACTGTGTCTACTATAAGCCAGTAGACTTTAGGTTGCTTATTATAGTGTAAGCAACAAAAATAATTTTAAAAATTTCGATAACGTGAAATTATTGAAATTATTAGCACCTGCAAAAACATTAAACTTGGAAGATGTAGTGAAGAATGATAGTATCCATTGTTTTGTAAAGGTTAGAAGTGAGCCACAGGGTTCAAGCCAGTGGGGGGATTCAAATAATTTAACAACCGGTTCTCTGCCCTAATGACCAGCTGGGTAGGCATGGCTCAGTGGTCATGTGACTGGGTGGACGTGGCCAACTCAGCATCACTCACATCGATGGGCACTATCATTCTTCACTATATCTTCTGAGTTTAATGTTTTGCAGGTGCTAATAATTTCAATAATTTCACGTTATCGAAATTTTTAAAATTATTTTTGTTGCTTACACTATAATAAGCAACCTAAAGTCTACTGGCTTATAGTAGACACAGTGAAACAAATCAATATCCCTACTTCTTCCACTTTTAAACGTGACGTT